AATTTTTCTGGGATCACTTCTGATGCGACTTTGAGTGATTTTCAGGATTTGTGCCTTGCAGCGCTGCAGAAAAGCCACAGCAGAAAACACATGAGCGTCTCTCAGTCTTTAATCCATCAAAAGGCCCAGAGGGGTTGCCAGATACTCTTGGATGTGAAATGTTTTGATTTCCTCTACTCCTTTTCTCATTTTCAAAACCATATTTTACAAACACCAGCATCCAAGAGGCTTATTCTTTCGAACAGCCAGGTTAAATATTAAACAGAACCGTCCCTCTTCCTAATCTTGCCTGCTGTTCTCAACATGTCCTTTGGATTTTCTTTCTCTAATCAGACTCTGACTCTGGGCTCGTCTTTGTTTGGGACGACAGCAGTCAGCTCAACAAGGGTTTCTTCAACTTCCTTTACTGCTTTGTCATTATCTATGCCTTGGTCAATATGAGCTTTGTTTTTAAACTATAAACAGTGAGTCTGTCCTCCCCAGTACTGTTGGCATTACTTGCTCTGTTTACACAATTCAAACCACATTTCTTGAGGAGAAATTTTAAAAACAATTTCTTCTTCCTATATAACTGCTTTAACCAACAACTGCATTGCTTTTCTATGAAGCACATTCGGTCACTGAACGGAAACGAACTGTAGTGTCCTTTTTAATTTCACTAAAATTATCTTTATTTAAAAAAAAAAAAGCAGGACTAAACACAACACTCTGAGGAATCCCATTTTAAAAAATCTGCACATCTTATGATACTCTTCAGTCTTGGCAAAAGGGAGACATCTAAATATGTTAACTTTGAAAGTAATAGGAGATTAGTATCATAATACTCTTGTAATCTGGCAAAAAGGAGAAATGTAGTTATTTTAATTAAAAGAGGCACAAGATTGGAGCCTTGAGGAACGCCACAAGTGATCTGTGATTGTTCAATCTTTAGAAAAGGACAAATCAGGTTAATTTCAGGATTCTCTTTTCTAGTCGACTTAGTTTGAGATGAAAGTATAAATTAATTTTAATTACAGCTATATTTCTTTAAAATTATAGTTAATGTCAGTTTATTAGTTTAAGAAATGTTTGTGAATAATAGAGAAGATCTATAAGTTGCACTTAACTCCCAGTCCAATACTCTCAAAGATGCATAATTTTAAACATTTGACATGTTCTTGCAGTGATGACCCAAATACAACCTAAAAACTGGTTTCCATTTGTTATTTTATCCTCATGTGGCACAGAGCATGTTTATTTTAAAATAAAGTCTATTTATTACTGTAGCAACGTTCTTCATTTTACACTTTGTGATTTTAGCTTGTTCTCTGCATGTGGTTGATGCTGTTGGAACACAAAGGAAAAATGTTTCCTACTGGTTGTTTTTCTTTTTATAAGTTTAGGAAGTTTAAAGCAATATAATCCATTTCTGGCAAAAAATAAAATATGAGTTTACTTTATCTGAATGGGCTAAATTGACCAACAACCCAAACCCGGCCTACTTTGTCCAGCAGGGCTGATCGGTCTTATCAGGAGCAGCAGCAGCAGCAGACCGTCCCTCTGCTCTGAAGCTTATCGTGGACAGACAGCCTCGTGATGCTGGACCTCCATTACTGTCTGCAAGCAGAGAGAGATACTGAGGAAGACACGAGACGAGTCAATGTGGGCCACAGAAACTAAGAGATGGGAAGTATATTTATATATCAGTACGAAGAAATTCAATCAGATTTTTTTCAATTGTGATACAGTAACCATTTACAAACCACAGGAAGTAAAGAAATAATCTATTATGTTGCATTCAGTGATTCATTAAAGAGTCTTTTAGATTATTTTAAGTAGAAAACTCATTAACATTTTACAGGTCTTGGCTTTTATGTTTATGAAATGTTAGTAATTACAAACTCTTCAAATAGATTTTTGAAGATGTTTTGTTCCACAGCGAGGATTGGATTAGAGACACTTTACTGGTGCCAAGGTGCAGTTTTACAGAATAAAAGCAAAACATGTACAAAATAATAAACAGTAACTGATGGAATATCAGAAGTGCAAAATCAAATGAGTTTATGAGTTAATTTGCTACAAGACATCAACTTAACTTAATGCAAGTAAATATATTAAATTTATTAAGTTGTCATCAAGTTTGGCAAACTTATTTTGATTACATGTGACAAATTAACCCTAATCATGGCCGACATTTTGTTGGCCATGATTATTTGATGTTTTAATGCATCAAATTGCATTAAAACAAAATTTGTTCTGTAACAATTTGGACAAGTTAAAGTGGTGTGAATATTTTTGTCCTTGTAAACGGACAAATTGACCGTCTGCAGTGAATTTCTGTCTCAAACCGATCAACTTTTACACCTTTAACTCTTTGTGAACTATTCATAAATTTATACTTTTTTAAATTTGTAAATGTAAAAAAAAAGACATTTAAAACATCTGTTCAGAGCAAACTCAGAACAAATAACTGGGTGTTTTTTGTTTTGTTTTGTTTTTTACATGATTCTTAACTTTGATCTAACAAACCAATTAGTTCTGTTAAAATGGGAACCTTTCAAAAATATAAATGCATTCTTGTAATAAATCAGGAATTCAGGCACATCCTTAATGTTCACTAGACAGAATAATCATCGTTATTCACAGCCTCGCTAACAATGACTTTCCAATCAGTCTCAAATAACTGCTTACAGGTGAAAATAAAAGATTTTGATTAAAAATGTTTGCAAAAATTGGTTATTGTTGCTAAGAGCTACTTTAGGTTAATCTGACAGGATGTTTCTTTGATTTCAACGCGCTCCGACTGAATCCTATGACAGCGGATTAAGACTTCGCCGTTCCCAAATTTCCCTGCGACAAAAAATCAGCCGCAGAGACGGTTTGGTTGGGATCCAGCCGCCGCCCACAAACTCAGAAACTGAGGACGCCTCAGTCAGCCTGAGATTCCTGCTCCTTGTCAGAGGCGACAGCAGAGGCGTGTTCTCCTCGCTGACATATGTTTCAGCCTCAAGTGTTTTTCTGAACAGACAAAAATCAGATACAAACCCGTCACAGTTCAAGGATGAATTCGGCCAGCGACTAAAAACGACACTCTGCAGTTTTTCTGCTTGCGATCAAGATTGCTTTGCTAAAGTAATTTAGCATTTTGTCTTGGCAACATCACAAATAAAATTCACTTTATTTGGGATGTAAGGCAACAGCTACAGAGCAACAGTAAAATGGTCTAGAAGTGTGTTACCTTCAGTTTTTATAAAAGAAAAAAAGCTATATATACCAAATAGGACTTTGTAATTTAACGCCTTGAAATTGGGTCTCTGTCTCTTTAAGAAGCTCCTGCTCTTTCTGAAACTCCGCCTTCAGGAAGTCATCACAACATGGCTCCTCTATAAACTTTTTAACGATTTTACCAGCGTTGTACTGAGAAGTGGCTCTTATGAACTCAGCAGATGCTCAGATCCACCAGGTGTTTGCTAGTGGCTACTGGCTGCTCTGTGAGGTGGAAGCAAGAAAACTAGGAACCTGCAGCTCTGACTTAGCTGGGTGGCATGCATGTGGCGACAGTCCAGAGGAAATCACTCACCTGTAACAGGAAGAAACCTCAAGCAGAACCAGAGCCTTGGTCAAAAAGAGCGGGCATTTGCTTCAATCAACCAGGTGTTTGAGAAGAGACGCACAAAAAAACAAAAAGACCTGATGCAGGAGTGGTTTAAATGTTAACAAAAAGTAAAAAGTAAATAGCAGAATAGGGAGACGGATTAGGTGATGGCATCAACTCAGCCGACGCCCTCCTCTGGGAAAGAATCACGGCCAAAAGGGAACAAAAGGCCAGGAGTGGCTTCTATGGAGAGAAAAGCCTGAAACAAAGTAAACAGTTGAAATAAAGGCAAATTATGCTAATTGGAGAAGAAGAAAATTAGGAAAAGTGATCAGTTTATGGCTGTTTTAACTACAAGCTTTATCAAAGAGGAAAGTTTTAAGACCAGTCTTAAAAATGTGACAAAAGGCAAATTTTTTCTATTGGAAACAATATTGAGACCAAGAAAAATATCCAACAAGATTAACGATGTAAAAAGTTTCATATTAGAATATAACTTAACTAAACTGATATTTATAATCTTAAATCAGCAGTGGTTATGTAGACGTGTGGAAAACAGATAAAATTGACTAAAATATAAATATGGGATAAACTCTAGTGATATTAAAATTGATCATATAGTGACATCTACTGACGTCAAGTTAAAACTGCAGGTGTGCAGCAGGCTCTCCTGCTCTATGAAACACACACATGCTTTATGGCTCCAAACACGATGATGCAGAGCTGGTGGATCTTAAAGCTGACCTGCAGCAAACGACCAAAGCTCTGCTACTTTCCCATCTGGACAACAATAGGGAGTTATATGGATAAACTTCTCTTATAATAAAAGTGGTAAAGTATAGTGTAACATTTGCCAATTCAAGTCTGAGTGAAGGCAACTAGTAAATAAAAAAGGGAAAAGTTCAGACATTAAAGCTAGTCAGGGCAAGCTACATGAACAAATCCATATTTCAGGATAATCCAAACAGATATCATGTTTCAGTTTGATTGATCAGTTCTGATCAAAAGCTTATCCTGTCATTCACCCAGTGGTTATTTATCTGATAAACTGTTTTACACAAGATTTTCATCTTAAAAATATAAACAAACCAAATATGAACAGGTCTTCCAAAGCTATAGATTCACAAAATCTGGCTGCTTTCCAGAAGCACTCTTGTTACCATGGAGACTGAATAAAAATATTGGTCAAAGGGTCACTGATTTCTGAGGCAGGTCATCCTCCGGTCATGTCATTTTATTTCAGCATATGTTTTTAAAATGTAATGACGGATAACTTCCTAAAACTGTTTGTTTTGGCCTCAGCAGGGCAGGATTTAGAAGCATAAGGGCCCCTGGGCTAGAAAACGTATACTTTGTTTATTCTTTAAAACAAGGCTTTCTGTATTCAAACCATTCAAACCAACAAAAAAACACTGGAGATGGAAAATAACTTGCTGTTGTTCTCCATTTATTCTTTTCATTGTCGAACTCCTTTCAGAGGATCATAAATATGTTACAGAGTGAGAACAGCAGTCTGGTTATTTACAAGATAAAATAACGTACAACTCACAATGTCTGCTCGTGTTCGCGACGCTGAGGCGGGGGAAGCGGAGGGGAGAAACGGAGGGAGGGAGAGAAAACAACTACAGTTGTTCCACAGTTCATCTGAAGGGGGCGCAGACGAGCAAGACTCTGACCTTAGATACAGAAAGGAAGAGAAGCAGCTGCTGTGCGACGGCTCCTGCAGGTTTTATTTCACATAAACAAATATTAGATGGACTCTTCAGCTAACGGATTAGCTGAAGAGTCCAGCAGCAAACCATTTTTTGTAACCTAAAAGAAAAGAAAAAAAAACAGTAGTGGTTCCTTGAACAGTTTTGAGCCGGCACTCAAGACGACAGGAGGTTTAAAAAGGGAAAAACAAAGATGTGAAACTCGGGATCATCAGCTTTTACTTCCTACTTCTTGAACACAACCTCAGCCAATTAGGAAAAACCGGAGGAAAAACTGCTTCAAACAATACAAGACTATGAATTTTAAGTTTTTGCATTATATATATATATATAAAAAAAGAAAAATGGTAGAAAGGTTGTTTCCTGTGACAGACATGAGAAGTTAAAAGCTAACGACACAATTAAGGATAACATCCAATATCTCTTCATATGTTCAATAGAAGTTTTGTATAATCTACCAGGAAGGGATGTGAGGTCCAAAAAGAACAAAAAGGACTGAACAGAATATGTACGATTTGCTTTCAAGCAGAGATGTTCTGATGTTTTTGTGTCCATCTGAACTGTTAGCGCTTGAGTATAAACAGCTGTTTGTCCTGTTCAGAAAGCAGCCGAAGCTCCAGTCATTCAACTTTAAAACATTCAAAGATCCGAGTTTGTAAAAAAAAAATTACAAACAACTTTTTCTCCATATTTTGTCTGCGGAACTAAAGAAAAAACAAATTGAAACATCTTATGACTAAACAGCAAGTAAAACGTAGAATAAACTGTTAGCTTAGCATTTCAACAGACTGAACTGCAGGAAAAATAGTCACCAAGTGGTGATTAAACTGAATATTTCTCTACATATCGACCTGAATATATGTTCACTAAATCTAAACTCATTTTGGTTGTGACAACTTTCCTGACTGTGTTATTTTAATGAATTTACAAGCCACTAATTTTATTAAAGTACCAGATGAAGATGGATAAGCTTGCCTGCAATGATTTGGATCAGAAACCAAAAAATACTGACTGGTTCATGAAATTCTAACATTTTACTTGAAACTCTTGTGTTTGAAAAGACCACCAGAATACTTGCTTCAAAAAAAAAAAAAGTACCAACGTGTCATTTGTGAATGAAGCGATGACAAACTAACAGGAAGCCAGAGTCTGAAAGTGTCAAGAGTTCATTGCGAGACAATTCATTGAGCCTTCTGCAGCCATGGCGACCAAGAGAAACCTCTGAATGCTCTAAATGGTTGTTCGGTGTCTGCTCTGAAACTGATTATCAGCTAAATGTGATCGGCAGTGAACTAGATGATAACCTCTGTGTTTTTTTTTTTTAAACCAGGTTTTTCAAGCAAGTGAGGAAGTAAACAGACCGACGGATCGCGAGTCGTTCTCTCAGAGCTGTGGAGAGTAAGAGGGGGGGTTGAAGCTGGGAGCAGCTTGTGCGTATCATCCTAAGTGCAACAAAACATTGTGGGATTGACTGAGATGTGGAAACAGAGAGCGTGTAGAAGGTAGTTTTGCTCGAAGTGAGAGCCGTTCAGAGTCTTGCCATCAGGAGAGACGACTGAGATGAAGGTGGACGCATCTGGAGACGTCGGTCCTACTGTCGGTGAGTGGGGGAGGGGGCGGAGGTCACTGAGGGGCGACAGGGAGAAGAGGGGGCTCCTTAGATGGGCAGCTGGAAGGTGATGTCCACTTGAGCTTCTTTTGCCAAGGAAACGATTTCAGAAAGTTTTACAACCTGCAAAGAGAAGAACAGAGGCGATCAGAGCTCACCATGATGAACACTGGAAAAACAAAGTCTGACAAGCATCTTTGGTCTAATTTCTACTGCAAATATCTTAGTACACTTCTAACTAACTTGGAAATAACTTTTCAGAAAGATAAATAAGCTGGTTTTCAGTCTATAACTCTGGAATACAGATTTTTAAAAAGATTATTTAACTTATAACCAGACATTTTTTTCTGTTTTAAGTGAAAAAAATTCTGCCAGTTAAACTAGTACTTTTTGGATCTGTATTTAAAAATGACTGACTGAAAACAAGCTTACTTGATAATATTTTGTGTTTTTGCAGTGAACTTGTACAGTTTTGATTGTTTTGTACTTTTTGTCAGGCAGAAAGTGAAGATGTGACTAAAATAAACTCAAAGGATTCTGCACATGCACAAGGATTTTATTGAACCTTCATTCAAGTTCCAGAAGAAAATGTAAAATTTTCTGTGACCCAAGAGAAACATGCAGAAATGTAAAGCCACACTCCGACTGCCAACCATCAACACCTCTTCTCCTCACAACTCGCCCTCCTTCCTCAGGCATCCGGCGTTTCCTCTCTTGGTTTCTAGCCAGAACGTCGGGGTCAAACGAACAACGACAGAGCCAAGTGTGTGTAAGTGTGTGTTTTTACCATCTTTGCAGCTTCGTCCAGGTCGTCACAGGCCAGGATTTTCAGAGGGCTGGAAGCGATCAGAGCTTTGGCATCATCCACTCTCGTTCCTGAAGATAAATTACAGAGAAGCCGTTAGCCGATGTCACCTGATGCATCGACACACATCCTGCGTTCAGGAAGCTACCCTAACCAGAACTGTGAGAAATCATCTGGTTGCCAGACAATTTTCAGCTTAAAGAACCTGGCAGCTGGTCAGTGAATGCAGCATGTTCAACAACACTCTCTGGTGTGAATGCTGTAACTGAAAAAAGAGGTTAGTCAGCAGTTTGATAGGTTTTGATTCTGATCACTTTGCGCTTTCTCCATTTCCTACTTTTGTATTTTTGTAAACAGAGAAATCCTCTTACACTCCCTGGAATAATGCTAACTAGCCTAGCATGTCACTGAACACCATTTCCACTGGGACAGGGGGAAGTTATAAAAAGTACACGGACAAGTTAAATAGATAAATATCTTGATAAATATGTTCCTTCACTGAATAAATCCTGGTGAAATGGAGGCTAACGCTGGTCTGTAGCTAAGCTAACTAAGCTAAAAGGTGGATAATGATGCGCTAGTGTACCCACCCTCTCTAACAAACATCCTTCCTTTTATCCGTCTTGTTTTTCTTTTCTCTTTTTTGAAAACTTTATCATTTTTCTTAGTAGCATAGTAACTGTCAGTCGTTTTTGTCTTCGACTGCTGAACACCGTCACTGTGAAGTGCGCCGAGAAGGAACAAACCATTTTATGCAGATACAGTAGGGTGTTCAGTAAATATGGATGTTTGCTTTTGGGTCTGAAAGTCGAAACATTTCATTTGTAAAGCCAAAAATAAATTTTTAATAATATTTATGCCTGGAGGAGGAGCTTCATCCTCGAAGGCGGAGCTAGGTCCACCCATTCATTTTGCACAGTTGAATGGTTGCCACGGGAGATTAAAAGATTTCTCAAACATACATGAAAGAATCAAAGCAAAACTTCAGGTGTGTTTGTGATTAGGGAATAACATTATAACATGATCTAAAGTTCAAAAAGTAAACCTTATATAATACTTATATAATCATTGAGAACTAAAAGTGCAGATTTCAGGATATTTGATGGACAAGTAAGTTCAGATGCTGTCCTCCAAAGCCAGAGTTTCCATCCTGACATCTCAGCAGAGCAAATATATATAGTTAGCAAGTAGCCATCCTAGACACTGTGTTCATTTCTACCATTTTTCAAAAACCTTTCAGAGGAAGTCAGCATCTTCGTCACCTGGTTACTCCAGGAATAAATTCCTTGCCCAATCTCCAAGGACAGGCTAGACACGCGACAAATTAAGAAGCCTCCATTTGCTATTTATCTCAAAAGCTCATGACAATAGAAGCGGATTATAATGAGATTAGCTAATGAAAATCTTCACTCCCTCTTCACCACAACAATCAAACTCGAGACCCCCAGTGACTGCTGATGGCGCCACGCTGCGCCTGTTGAGCTCTGATTATGGAAATGTGAATCATCATCAGAGGGAAGTTTTCGTGCTGCAGAAACCCTCCACCCGTCTCCCTCTTTGTGTGCCGCTCAGCATCATTAGCTTCCCCTTTCTTTGTGGCTGTGAGCGTGGCGCACCTTGTAACCGTACTACGATGGGGATTTTGAGATCCAGGTCTCTCACAGCCATGATGATGCCCTGGGCGATGACATCACACCTCATGATGCCTCCAAAGATGTTGACCAGGATGGCCTGAACCTGAGTTACACAGTGAGGGATACATGTGAAATTTTAAACAGAACAATATTTAGCCTACACAAGCTAAGAAAATAAAGTACAAAACAAATTTAAACAATTTATCCAAAACTTCCTTGACCTTAAAAATCTTTTTTTTCCTGAGATTATGACAACCTGGAGCATCGCAGGCAGTAAAACGTTTGTCCAGGTTGAAACATGGAGCTGATTTCTTACCTTCTGGTCTGAAGTGATGAGTTTGAACGCCTCCGTCACCTGATGGGCCGTGGCCCCGCCTCCTACGTCCAGGAAGTTGGCCGGTGTGCCGCCGTGGAGCTTGATGATGTCCATGGTGGCCATAGCCAGACCAGCACCATTAACTGGAGAGGATGGAGCCCGTTGGTTTGATTAGTTGACATTATAAAGATAATTTAGGTCCAGAATACGCTCCTCTTACTTTCATTGAACACTCTTCAGTGTAGATGTTATTAAAGAAAGATGCAGTTTCACCATTTTCCCAGTATCGGTGAGATGTTCAACATTACGTCAGAGGAAGTAGACATCCTATTTAAATAGGAAGCTGTATTCCTATGATGTTTCAAGAGACCCCTGTAGCGTTTTAAGTTTGTAAACAACCGAGAGAGATTGAGACTTCCAGTAGATAACAGGAAGTCTGTCCAGTGTCCTGCAGATTTTCTCTCTTTTATCCTTTTGAGCTTTAACTTGTGCAGCCAAATCTCAGAAATTAGAGATCTACACAGGAAGAGATATTTTAATAATGCTAGTAATGCAAATCACCAGGAAGCACCGATTGCAATTTTTTTTTTGTCTGAAAAGTTGATGAAGTCTTTCTATTGCTGATCTTCCAAAATTAAGGAAAACAGGGCTGATTTATCGGTGCAGCCCTACAAACCATGTGATAATAAAACAGTCTCTGTTAACTAGTGATCATTTTCTATTTGCTTTAAAATATTAGTGAACTGTTCTACAGCACCTTTCCCCCTTAACACGACATCATGCCTGCTTGTTAACATCAATAATCAATAACAGCTCATCACAAGAGGGTTAAAAAAGACATTTGAATGCTCATCTTACATTATTGTAATTATTAAAAGGAAATTGGAAACTGACCACTCAAGTTAAGGACTTCTTCATTTTAGAAATAACCATTTGAAAAAATACCATCACTTGACGAAAAAACCAGAATCATGAACGGATTGTGGTTTTCAATGTCAGAATGACTCCGTGAACGTTTACTTTGAAACACTTAGGTGGAGCGATATAAAAAAGTACAAGTCCAAATCTCCTTACACACACACTAAACTAAAACTAAACTAAAGGACACTGACCCAGACAGCCGATGGTCCCGTCCAGACCAATGTAGTTGAGGTCAGCCGTGGCAGCCTGTTGGTCCCGGGGGTCCTCCTGGCTCCAGTCCCTCATATCAAACACCTTCTTCTGGCGATACGCCGCGTTGGAGTCAAAGTTGATTTTTGCATCCATGCACATCACTGTTCACACAAACAGGCATGTTGGGACCAGAGGAAGTTTAACTTTAATTTCATTCTTTAAAATTAACTTAAAATGGTTTGATTTCACTTGATTCTTTGAGGAACTAAAGCTTTGGAGGGATGGAAATATCGGAATTGGGTCGTTAGGACTGCCGTGAGAAAGTCTGATGCATTCGCCCGCTGTGTGAACGTAAACAAATACTCCAAGGGATTTTAGGCAAATAACATTGAATGACTAGAGAGGCAGCAGTCAACAGGCCAATGATCAAAACTGACCTTTTCTGGATCGTCTTTGACCTGCGAGTCAAATACTAAAAACTTTGATTTGTTTTCTAGCTCAGCACTTCAACAGGTTTTGAAGGTGACTTTTGAAATCAGGCTATTCTGAGCACTAATTCTTTGACAGTCGCCATCTAAACTGATCCTCTTCATTTCCCACAAAGGTCATCGCTCCCCTCCTCTTACTACGGTATTTACCAGGCCTCCGGCCGAGCCATTAATCCCGTCACGCTGAGCGACCGCATACACGCAGAGTTTAAAGAGAAATCGATCTTTTGATCATTTCAACATTTTCACTGACTGACGTGTTTCTCCCTGCAGGACGGCCATTAACTTAACTCCCGTAAGGCTGGGACAAAAATAGCAGCAACCTTTACTGAAGGCTACATGTGCATGTCGATGGAAACATATCCATCCTTAACAGAGTTTATGCCAATAATCAGGCATAAAAGAATGTTTAGTAATAATGATGGACTAATTAGGATAAAGCATTGTCTGCCAATTGAGTCAAGCAAAATCTGGAATAACACTGTTGGACTGCAGCAACCGATATGCAGTAAAGATGTCTAAGTAAATGACAATAAAACTAAACATAATAATAATAAATAAATTCCTTTGTTGACGCAGTAAAATTGTCAAAAAAGTGAAGCACAACATCTTTAAATCATCTTTAGAACAGGATCCAAGTGTGTGAGCCGAGATGGCCGCAGGAGGAGGTCGATTTTGATTCTGATGAATCATTTCTGTGATTATTTAACGAGATGTTTATGGATCGTGTCCTGCTGAAACACTAAATGATGACCCAGGGTTTCCCTGAGCGTACCATTAGCCTGGCGGGCCTCCAGGCTTCACTTGGCTCATGATTGAACTAATATTACAAGGACATTCATCTGTGAGCAACAAATGTGAAAACTGAGGGGAAACCTCATGAGGAAACGGCTCATCAATTCAAACAGAACTGCTCAAAGTTTCAAGATTCAGGAAGAGAAATATGTTACATTTATTTGCACAATAATTATTATACCTGTCTTTAATCAAAAGTCATTAAGAACAAATTTCTGGTTCTTATGCATGTCCTGGTCCTGTCAAAGGTTAGCTGTGGAAGTGTGACAGATATGCAGGCGTGTTCATACCGACTCCAGAGGAGTCCTCCACCATGGGATTGATCTCCAACATGGAGGCGTCGTACTTGATGAAAACGTTGTAGAGCTTGATCATGTTCTCCGCCGCCTCGTCCACCAGAGCGTCTGGGAAGCCCATCTTCTGAGCAACCTGTGGCAACGCAGAGCGCATCGTCACAAACCATCACACCTCATGCAGGCATGAGCTGCTGACATTTACAGATGATGACATCATCACTTTCTGTTTCTGGCTTGACTGTGAGACTCCTAATATGTTACCTTTTACCAAGAAAAATATCCAACAAAAAAACCTTCTTGGAGGTGAATAGCTTTAAATCTCATGAATCTCTACAGAGCAGTTTGCCCTTCCTTTAGTTGACTAAATAATTATTTGCTGGTGAGACATTTAGGTCCAGAAATTAAACTCACTTCATCAAAACAGCAACAGTCTGTGTTGGTAAAAACTGACTTAAAATTCAGCCATTTGTCTGTTTTGTTCTTATTCACAAAACGGATTGCATAACAACTTTTAGTTCTTCATAATTTAAAATGCTGCTTGTTTAAAAGCTTAATTAGCAGAGGTATCAGAGTTAATATATCAACATTTAAAAGTGGTAAGTTGCAGAATTTAATCTGAATCTTACAAAATCAAAGCAGTTTAATGTTCACCTCTTAGATACTGACTGGATCCACTGTGAGTATGCTGAAGTTTTTGTCATTTGACTAAAGGTTTGTGTTTCTTATAAGCTCTGACTGCTAAATAAGCTAAAACACTGAAGTCCAGTTAAGCCCAGAGGAGCTTCAGATGAGGCCTAAGAATCCATAGTTTGTCATTTTATACACAAATACTCATTTTGAAATACATTTGATGTAACATTTAAAATTGCATAATGTGTGTAGGTCCCCCAGGTCAGGTCACAAAAATAGTTTGTTCGTTTTTAAATTAGAAAGAAATAAAAAAAACAAGAACTGCAAGCAGTCGTAACGGGTTCCTTGCCAGAAGCCCATAGCACCGCCCCCTGTGCAAAGCCCCCCCCACAAAACAAAAGAAAAGCTAAGTCTGTTCAGGATCAGTGTGAAAGCAGCTGGTTAGCATTAGCTGCTTGTAGCCAGCAGGTGACATTTTCCTGTAGCTTGCCATCTGACACATGACGTGTTCTGTGAAACAGCTTTAATCTAATGCTTCAACAAAAAGTTATTTATGTTAAAAAAGAAAAAGTTTGATAAAATTCATTTATTACGACTGTTGTACCAGGCTCCACCAGCAGAGGTCAGACGTGGCGTTAAGAAAAAAAATAACTGGATGCCAGTGAGGAATCAAAACATGCTGAAACAGCAGTTAATGTGAAAACTGAAGAAGACAGGAGATTATTGTCAGCAATTTAAAGCTCAAGGATCCAGTCTGTATCTATTTTAGATGTAGGATCGCCATGGCAATAACAGCGTCCACTCAGAATCCGCTGCCTCTGTTGCTCTTCGATGCCTCAGCTGAAGCATCTCCAGTCGGCTTTGTGCCTGTTGGTCGTACCTTGACAGCCTGCTCCTTCTTAATGCCCTCTACGATGTCGATGGGCTCTTTCACAATGGCGTCTGGATTTTCTGCCGCCACGTCTTCGATGTTCACGCCCCCCTGCGAGCTGCCAATCAGCACGGGACCCTGGGAGACGAGAGGAAAGCATTGGTTCTAGTGTCGGTACACGCGACAAAAGTTTAGAGAGGATTCATGTCTCAGTCCAACTCACTCTCTGGTTTATCAGTAAATTTCTCTATAGAGCCGAGCGACAAGTAGTCGCTTTTTCAAATTCTGACTTTGTTTGGGCCACTAACAGACGAAGGTGCCTTAATAGTGTTGAAACCTCTTTCCATTTTCCTTCCACATACGGAGCATGTTGATCGTTCACATAAAAAAAAAAAGAATATACACTGAGGATTCCAGCTGTAGTGTGAAAAAGTTCAAGTGTTACTTTGAATGAATCATTTTTGTGATCATATTAAAAAATTTTTCTAAATTTCCAATATTCCCCTTTTTTTGGCTCAATGAATTTTGTCCACAGGGTTCCTGCATTTTCTTTAAAGAAAAAGACAGAGAGACAGAGACAGATGGACAGACAGATATAAATGCGACATGGACTGCTGGAAAACACATAAATCAAGTTCTGTTATTTTTCAGGTTGTGTAGGAACTCTGTGCCTATGAGGAGATACTTTCTGCTGCTCACTGAAATCATTTGGGTTTTCTGTTCGTCTGACTCTTCACCACAAAATCACAACAGCGCTCGGCACCAGTCAGACAATTTGTTTGCCCTTTCTGAGCAGCAAATGTAAATAAATAAATAAAAATAGTCAAACCAGCAAACAGTCACATTGTTCAGTAAACAAAGACCCCAAAACGACGGGGAACATTCTTATCACAGAATAACACGTTATTAACGCAGTCAAAAATCAAATGACTTGTCAATTCGTTTGAGGGCATTCAGTTACACCAGAATACTCTAATCACTTCAGCACTGAAACAGACTGATTGTGAACGCATTGACGAGCCGCGTTCGATTTAAGAACACAGCTGCATCAGTAACACAATGTGACATCACAGGTTGGCTGAAATGCCACTTTCTCTGGGCGTCTCCTGAACTGAACACAAACATCCCTGCTGTTTTCCTCTGCAGCAGATAAAAGCAATAATAAGAATCCAGGACTAAATATATCAATAATAATAACAAACCCGTTATTCTACAGGAAGTTCTCAGGATCCCCCAGAGTTAGATAAGCGTGTGAAGCCTTGTCCACTTCAACAGGAGGGATGTTCCCCTGCTGAATGACTGGCAGAGCAGCAGATTAGATTGAGGTCATAATCTCAGGTCTGGTTAATTAAAGATTTAATCTCTGGAATGTTTACACTTTGCCCCCGCTGAGTTTAACCAATCTGAATCAGGAACGCTTCTTCGGGGACTCCTCATGTAACGAACATGTAGAAAGTATTAATTACTAAGGCTTAATTTTAATACAACACTGCCCCCTAGTGGTGTTGATCTGCCTTAGTTAGCAAAACCTTGTGCAGAACCTTGTACAGGTTCATTCAACGTCTGAATTTATAGAAAGGTGACATATTAAAAAATTTTTTAAAAAAAAGGAAAAACAGTTTAAAAAGTCAACAGGAAGCAGTTCGCGCTTCTGGCAGCATAAAAAAGCAGATTTATTTAACCCCAGTACCTGAAAAGACCTCTCCATGGTGATGGCGAAGTAGTACTCTCTGCGCGGGTACCTGCGCTCGCAAATGAACACCTGGTTGCAGATCCGACCCGCCTCCCCGGTCTGTTTGGTGAACAGTTTTCGACCAATCATCTGAGAGGAAATTTCCCGAGCCTCTTCTGGGCTGCAGAGGAAACAAAAGGAGGAAAATTTAAAGAGGACGATGATGAGGATTGTTTAAATAAACCATCAATAAGTCCAAAACAATGGTTTTGTCTACATACGTTTTATCTACATATGTAAATAATATCTACTACATATGTAGAGGTTGTATTTGTCACTGTGAAGAGCATTAAGGCCACTGAAAAAAGTTCAAACTTTAAATTCTTGGCTTGATCAGAAAAAGTCAGATTTTTGAGAAAGAAAAACTGATTTAAAAAAGGGGGAAAAGATTGAGGAAAAAATGTCAGAATTTGGTTAGTCACTTTTTTTTTGGTAGCCCTGAACCGTTTCCGTATTTTACAAGTACAAAAACAACAAACATATTACTTGTAGTTTTTCCTGCAGACTTGGTAGAAAATACAACAAACTAATATAAGTTTTTATTTCAGACAGATTTATAGGAAATATAACCAATTCCAGGCTTTAGTCTCCTTTTATTACACAACATTCACATTGACGTTATTAATGACACTCTGGAGTGATAAAGATGACACCAGTTTGACTGTAGCGTCTGTTGCGTTCAGTGTCTGTACTTACGAGTAGACGATCTTCACTCCTCCCTTCAGTCCGCCCTCAAACGTCCCCTTCCCTCTGCCTCCGGCCAGAACCTGAGCTTTCACCACCAGGTCCTTAGAACCTAACACCAAAAACGATGCCAGAACAAAACGCATGACTAAGGACAAAACAACAGAAACACTCAACTACTGAAGAATATTGTCAGAAAAGATCTAAGGTTTAGAAAATGGATCTAAATCTTAAACTTGTAATCAATTTGGCCTTTGGTCACAACTTGCATGTTCAAAAAAAAATTTTGTTGATGACAGCAAACAACCTCAGAAAAGATTCATCTTTATGTGATGAATACGAGATTTAAGCAGCTCAGAAATCTATGCTTCCACTTTTTCAGCATATCTCAAATTTTTGTACTTTAATAATAAAATGTCGGAATGAAAGAGCCGCTTACGAAGACATCAAATATTTGCTCCCATTCATCCTCTGATGATCATCTTTCCACGAGAATAATTAACCGATGCTTTACACATCAGTCACATGGAACTTAAGGACAAAATCATTGTCCTCCTTTTTTACGAGGACAAGTCAATAGTTTTTCTGCCTGCAGCTTGGAAATATCGAGTTAGTCAGTTAATTAAGAAATCATTAACAAAACCTTTAGTGGATGCTGTTCATTCCTAATCCTCTAACCCTCACATCCTTGTTGTGTTGTCGTTTTTCTCTTACCGATCTTCTTGGCCACATCGTACGCCTCGTCAGAGGAGCTGGCCACCATTCCCGCCGGTACGGAGATGCCGGCTTCTTTCAGCAGGCCTATGCTCATGTATTCATGTAGGGAGAGGTTCCTCTGCTGCTGCTGCAGGTGGGGAGGCTGCAGCTGGGACACATGGCCACCAAACAGACCCGTGGAGCCTCCAAGGACCTGAGGACACAAACATCCATCCAATGAGTACAGACAAATATTGTCATGAGAGCTAAACATGTGGGTCTTTATGTTATTTTACTGTTCAAGTCTCTACAGGACGTGTGTCAGATCCTACATAAGATGAACCAGCTGGGTTACCGTCATTAAAGAGATTTTATGATTAGATCCAGTTTGTGTAAGTCAAACGGAAAAAATGCTACATATATCAAATATGACTTGAAAGAAATTTGACTTCCTGATTTAACGCTTTTGTCTCTTTAAGAAATTCCTGCTCTTTCTGAAGCTCCGCCCTCAGGAAGTCATCACATCATGGCTCCTCTATTAACCCTTTAACAACATCTATACCAGCTGTGAAGTAGCTCCTGTAATGAGCTCAGTTGATGTGCAGTTCCATCAGGTGTTTGCTAATTGGTGCTGGCTAGTCTGAAGGAGCTGAGTGGGAGAGTCGCGGAGGAGGGCTGCTCTGTGAGGCGGAAGCTCAGAAACTTGGAAACTGCAGCTTTGAGCTTTGAGGAGGAGCTTCGTCCTTGAAGGCGGAGCTAATTTCCACCAAGGTGTTTGGCACATCTGAATGGTTGCCACGGGAGATTGAAGGATTTCTCAAACATGTATGAAAGAATCAAAGCGACACTCCAGGTTTGTCCTTAATGAGGGAATAAAGTTAGAATATAAAGCTAAAAATAAAAGTCAATTTTACATAAACTGCTCCTTTAAATTCAGTGATTTTCTTCTATTTTTTGGTGTGGAAAACAATCTCCATTGGTGTGTGGAGGCTGGGATCTGTACCTGATCAAATGAACCAACAATATATTGTTTGAACAGCTAAACTATTTCAAATGAATTGAAAGGTAACAGCAGGAAAAAGATTCTATTAAACCACTACGCTGATGGGTGACTTGGGTCTAGACAAAGGCGTTCATTTTATTTGGCTAGAAACTGTGGAGTACTCACTTTTAAATCAGAAAAGGAACTAGAACAAACTTGGAATCCAGATACTCTAGTTTATTAGATACTCGTTAGTTTATTTTTTAGAAACTGTAAAGTACTCACCATCTAGATTATAATACAGAAAGACCCCCATTATTGCAACCCAGAAAAGGAATTAGGTTGGTCACTCTTTAGCTTATTTTTACAGAAACTGTAGAGTACTCACTATTTAGAAGCAGAGGCCAGAAGCCCAGAGGAAACTTCTGGATCAACATTGTTAGACTATTTTTCAGACTCCAGTTCTTCCAACCCAGAAATGGAATTAGACCAGAGGATACTTAGCAACCCTGACCAGGAGCTCCTAGTTTACATACTTTAGATCAACATTAGATTATTTTTCTCTTTTTTTTTGCTCTTTCCTTTGGCTTGTTATTTTGTTTGTGTTGCTGAAAATGTGCTATATAAATAAAATTGCCTTTACCTTTAGTCTGCAAGTCAGCAGATATCTGGAAAATCTGATTTTTTAAATGAGTTTCTATGTATTGCATTCTGTTCACAAAAAAAATTTATTTAACAAAACTCCAACCAAAGTGGAGATTAAAAAAAAACTTGTGCCTGTGTACATGGGAAAACAGAGATTCAGGGTCGCACGCAATGCAGTTTGCAACAAATAATACAGCAATATGTCCACATACTTTCTTTTTCATGATTCCCAATCTACATCAACTCGTATTTAATAACTTTATATTTTAACACATTATTTAAAAGGATGTTTGATTTCTAGCAGGAAGCTGTGGTTGTTTTGAAGCAGTCCAATTAGCTGACATAGCTGTATGTTACACTGCTCCCTATGGGTTTGGCATGTTTAAAACAAGGCTCATGGGTGGATTTGTATGGATTCAAGTGGATGAAAACTTTTCTGAAACCTAATCCAGTGTGTACATTTTGTTTTGTTTAAGCAATATTCCTTTTTAAAAAGACGTGTGTACATGACTTAGTTGCAACATCTGAGACCTGTTTACTGCCAATAGCATTGGAAAAAGCAACACTGGAAACCCAGCTGAGGATGTGAAACAAAAAGTTACTCAGTCTGAGTCAGCAGGACTTCTCTTAAGGCTTCTATAAGAATCTAAATGTTAGATAAATACAACTGAAAAGGCATCTTTTAATAATATGATCAACGGCGTTTGGCATGATTAACAGTTTCTAATTTAAGAACACTTCTGTGACTTATTTTGACACTCAAACATGGCCGTTTTCACACTCAGACCAAGCATAACAGCACAAAAACACTATGGTAAACTTCATAATTATAAAGCTAGTTATCTTAATTTTCGGTATAAATTACACAGGAAGTAGCACTAATCATTTCAGCTGATTCTGATAACTCTTTTATACTTTGACAGCTGCACATACGCTAGTTGCATACTACAAAATTCTCGTATACATCTGAACATAACAGGGACAAAATAGAGTGTATTGCAAACACATTTAAAGTGAATCACGAGACTACTAAAACCCCAGGTTCCTCCAAGTTTTAGCACAGCCACCGACCTTTTTTATTTCCTGCACATTACAATAAGTCTGAGTTTATAAATTCTCTTGGAAAAAACCTAAAACAACAGCCTTGAAAAAGTAAGGTTGAACCATTTTACCTACTGTCGCATAGCAACCACAAAATTCACGGCAGAAAGTAGTGCATAACTATGAAGAAGAAGATAAAATTATTAATGTTTTTCATCATTTACAAATGATAAAATTCTGATCTGGTTGGTGCATCTCGAATGGAAGGGTTAAACGTTCAGACTAAAATGAGAATCAGTTCAAGGGATATCAAAACATGAGACATTAAGAACTGATTTTTTTTTTTTTTGCCTCCATCTGGAGTTAAACCAAAAAGAAAAGCAGTTTTTAAATGGGATAAATATATTTTCTCCATCTCAAGGTTTCTCTGTGCTTTTTCAGGCCGCTACGTGTTCAGGTATCAGTGAAAACTGCTGTCTGTCCAAACAGAGGCTGAGAGGATTTACCCCCAGATCTTTCCCAAAGGACTCAATGGGACAAATGAAACGGTCCAGTCCAGCTGTGGGACAACGGCTGGTTCCGGGAGGGTCACCGAGCTTCCTCGCCCCACTTTAGCATCAGAATCCCCTCCTTATGCCGATTCAAACTACCAGAAAAATGACAGTGAAGCGACCTGCCTTGTGGGACCGCTCATGTTGCTTTAACATTGACAGCTAGCCATGCTAACGCCAGAGTCCCGCTAGTTAGCATGTTAGCCAAAACAACGGAAACTCTATGGAGTTGTGCTAATGTCAGATTTGACCCCTTCAACTATTTAGGAAGTTGCATTTGTCGGGCGAAGGTGCAACACAGAATGTGACATATGCTACAAAAGCCAAGGGGATTTCCTTCCGTTTCATGACGGAGTTACCTTTGAAGCAGAGCTGATAGTGTTTCTGGCCCCCGAAGATCTCAGGCTAGCCGTCAAACAGCCGCAAATCAGGGACGTCGCCATGTCTCCCGATACAGCGGAGAAGTCACGAACGCGCATGCGTAGCGGGCTTCAAAACTCGGCTTTCTCTCGTGCGACCTTTAGGTGCTGTCGGAAATAAGGAAACAATGCTATGTAAAGACAAATAAACTTCAAAGGGGTAAAAAGTATTCTTCAAGATATTATAAAAAATAATTTTGCAAACATAAACATGGGTTATTTACTAATTAATTAGTCGTTTAAGAACAACACAACCCTATTATCATTAAATTCATAATTTACCTAGGTGATTTACAAATTTCCCTTTCATTCCCGCCACTCTCAGTGGAAATTTAGCAGTTTTAAATAATTACAAAGCTACACCAAAGATACAATGCAAGAATTTGACTAATAATCATATGTTTTACCCAGTTAAAATACAACTCCACTAAAACAAAGAAGCAGTCGACCCTGTATGAGGAGCCTTTGAAGGAAGCATGATGAAGGCTGTAAATATAGGCATATTCTCAACTTTGACCTACATTCTAACTTTTCTAATTACTTCTAATTACTACATTGCGTATACAAACCCATGATAAGAATGTTGATAAAATAAAAAGGCGACATATAAATACTTAATCAAATAGACTAAAAATATCATATTATAAAAAATATATAGTAAGTTTTCTAATTAACAAACATAATAAAAAATAGTCCACATCAAGGATTTCTGTCAGATGTTCTTCTGGACTTTGACTTGACCATTCCAAAGCTTTAACTTAGCCATGATGAAGACATTAATTTGTTGTGCGTTTTTCGACATTTGCTTGGCAGTGATGCTGAAAAATAAGCACCAAATGTAGCTTTTTGCAATTAAATTAAAGGGACATATAATTAGAACCTTCAAGATGACCATTAAATGCTTGAGTAATATTTTATCAATCAGATCAAAAGCAGTTTTCATCTGTATGCTGCCAAATTACATCAATGTGAAAAGATGGTCAACATTAATTAACCTCAACCTCAAGAAGTGGATTGAATGTAGAGGCAGTTTGTGAGTCTCTGATGTTTCAGAAAAAAAACTCAAAAGGTTTTGAGTAATTATGAACAAATAACACCACTAATCTGAAAATATAATTTTAAATACAATGTAAGGAAAGGTATTTTGGTAAGTAAAGGTAAGTCCACAAAATGAAATAATCAGAGTATCAAGTTTTATGCAATTTGCACTTCTTTATTTTTTTATGTAAATAAGTCTCTTACTTTGATAGAAACAACCAGGTACAAAAAAGGTCTATTCAAAAATTATTTATTTACAAGGAAAGTATATACAAGCTTATTTACACATTGTACCACACACAACCATCAGTTATGCAACACAAAAACTCAGTGAATCAAACAGAGAGGAGACAGGCCATTAAATACATTAAACCAATTACAGCTGATGTTTAAAAAAAAAATCATCAACATTGTTTTATTTCAGGTAACCTGTTGCTACTGGAGTTTAACCAGCAGAACATTGGGAAACTTGACTGTATCAAAGACTCTAACCCCAGTGGTTGTAAAACAATGCAAGCTGATCTGTTTTGCTGCATCAACACTCATGTTGGTTGAATTCAGAGGAATTAAAAAAAAACATCCAAAGGAAACCTGGGATGACGATACTGAAACAAATTCATACGACAAGGAAACTGTTGATCTACTTATTATAAATGAGCAGACATGTTGTTAAACGTAGAAAAGTGACCGCTGGGTGGAGTTTCTGTTCTTTCTGAACAAGTTTTGTTTAAGTGGACATGTGGGCTGGTTACAGTCAAAATTATAGGGAATTTTAAAAAAAATTCAGTGACTTATATCCTGTTTAATCTTAACAAAAAGCTTCACATGTAATCAGAAATAAAGTGAGAGGAACATTTTCACTTCACCTTTTTTGGTACAGCTGAGCTCAGGCTGTCAGTGTGATGTAAGCAAACAAGTGGCAGCCATTTTAGTCGTTTAGCACAAAGCTAATTTATCACAGAACAATGGAAAGAGCTTGAGGCAAAAACTGAGGTCCTCAAGCCTCCATATAGTGAGGAGACAACAGAAAGAAACGTGAGAGAGAAAGTCAAACAGAAAACTGCAGACTGCTGCCAACGCGGTTCCATGAATTATTTATGTTCATAGTTTGGTTTAATTTGGCTTCATCTTTGTCATCTAAATAAAAACATTGTAGAATTTGTTGCATTTTCATGCACAAGTTTAGAACATTTGACTTCTTCTTGACTTCTATATATGCTGAGTACTTGAGTTATTCCATTTGAACACTAGATGGCACTGTGCACGTGTAAGTTGATCTGTTCATTTCAATATAGAGAAACTGTTTAGCTTTTAAACTGGATGATCATGCGAATTATCTGGGATGATAACTGAAACAGAAACAAGATGGATGAAGGCATCAGTCAGGGTGTGCTAGTTAAAACTCAATAAAGAGCGTAAAAAAAAACAGTGAAGAATTTGTGATTTGACCTACTGCAGTGCCAACTGAGTTTTTGAGTACCTGTTTCTTTAAACATCTTCTGCAGAGACATTTACTGCCTGGAGACATGAAGGAAGAAATACTTTGTGTAGCTTGTGGGTCACAAGTTAATTTTGTGAATGTGAACCAAAGACCAGCATCACCGTGGCGACAGAAAGAAAGTGAGTTAAAGGTTTTCAGAATTTCACAGCGTGGAAACGAGCGGTGCTTCCTAACCTCACCTTTCCAGAAATGATTCACGCGTTAGGTCAGTTGTTAAAAAACCTTGTGAGAAAATATATGTTCAAGTGTTGCCTACCATTAGACACACACACACACACACACACACACACACACAGTGTCTTTGTTTCAGTCTGAGTCGCTGCTGCTGCTGGACGAGTCTGTGGACATGGCCTCCACATCGTCCTCGTTCTCCTTGTTGTGACCCGGCGGCTCCAGGCCGAAGTCGTTTCCATGGTGAGGAGGGAGCATCCCCACTGAGACGTCTGAGGCCTGCCAGGGGTAGTGAGGCGTCAGCACGTCTGAGGAGAAACAACATCTGGTCATCTGAGGAAAAATTATGAGGCAGAAAATGTTTCTTATAGAAAAAAACTTATTGACTTAAATAAGCCGAAACGTCTGCTGCAGAGACATTGTAAAAAAAAAAAAAAAAGAGGGTGGAAATAGTTATGCAACACAGGAAAAAGATGAAGTGTGGGTATTTGGTCAGAACTACAGAGCAAGAAAGACAGCAAGCGAAAAAGAAAAGGAGGGAAGGAGGAAAGAAACAAAGGAAGGAAGAAAACAAGCAAGAAAAGAAAAGAAAAAAAGCAACACAGACAAGAAGAATGAAGGAAATAAAGCAAAGAAAAACAAAGAAAAGCCAAGAAAGGAAAGAAAGAAGGCAAGTAAAGAAAGGAAGCATGCCACCAAAAAAGAAAGCAAGCAAGGAGTGAAGGAAGCAAACAAAAAAAGGAAGAAAGGACTCAAGCAAAAAAGAAAAAAAGTGGAAAAAAGGCAACAAAAAAGGAAGAAAGCAAGAAAAAAAATAAGAGAAGGAAGTCTTAGACAACTGGATACCAAATTCAGTCTGGAGACATGTTTTCCATCTGGAATCTTAACTCCATATTTCTCCAGATTACATAGTAATCCTGTCACCATTGACCCATTTTGTCTGATTCTAACATCAGAACTGGTCTCCAGTTCTTCCTGTTCCTCCATGGTAAACTGACCGGGTAGCCGTCCTGCAGCCAGAGCGTCCCCAGGCAGATGTCCGTTCATCCCGTTGGACGACAGGTTGGCCATGTGTCCCAGCATCCCGCTGCGCATCTCCAGGTCAGTAGGGTACGGTCTGCGCGGGTCACCTGCGGTGCGGCGTTCCCGTTAGCAGCTCGAAGTAGCAGAACAGGCACACCAAACTGACCAAAAGGAGACGGCGGCGCTTACCTGGCACCCAGTTGAGCGGCGCGCACACGGCGTTACTGGCGCTGATTCGGTGAGCGTACTTGATGATTTCTTCGGAAGATATGCTTCCTGCGTTGAACAAGAATGTATGCGGAGTTCATGAAGAGAGGGGAGAAAAGTAATTAAAAAACTTAAAATGGTAAATGTTCACTGAAAACTGCATTTTCTCACCTTTTCTGGCCTTCTCGATGGATTTCAGCTTCTCTTTAGCCTGGTAAACAGCCGTGGCCTTTGGGAAAAAACACAAAACAATAAAATACAAAATTAAACACGGCATGTAAGAGAGTCTGCACAAGGAACGCTAAATTAACAGTTAAATTATGCTGCATTACTCATTGCAAATAAATGTCATAGTTTTAGCTAAAGTCCAGCCGTATAAGAGTGGAGGAAACAGTCACTGTCAGTTCTACCGTCATGTTGTTATTAAAGGGGCAGTACTGTGTTTTCCTACCATACAGTGTTATTTTACAGCACAATCAAGTAACTATCTTACCTTCAGTTGTTGTAAAAATGCAAAATTAAATATATCAAATGTGACAAAGAAATTTGACTTCATAATTTAACTCCTTGAAATTGAGCTCCTGCTCTTTGTGAAACTCCACTTTCAGGATGTCATCACAACACGGCTCCTCAATTAACCCGTCAACAACGTTTTTACCAGCGTTTCAATGAGCAGTAGCTCCTATAATGAGCTCAGTAGATAGTACAGATCCACCAGGTGTTTGCTAATTGCTGCTGGCTAGTCTGAAGGAGCTGAGTGGAGGAGACATGATCTGTGAGGGGGCAGCTTGGAAACTGCAGCTCTAAGGAGGAGCTTCGTCCTTGAAAGCGGAGCTAGGTCCACCAAGGCGTTTTGCTCAGATGAATGGTTGCCATGGAGATGAAAGGATTTCTCAAACATACACGAAAGAATCAAGTATTTTTGATGAAAGAACAACAACAGAACACAAGGTAAAGCTCAACAATGGGGCAGTAGGTAAAACTGCCCCTTTAACAGCAAAGTAAGGACAAAATTACTGCTTCTGACCAGAATGTGTTCGGCCTCCTTCAGCTGTTTCTGCAGCTGCTGGATGTCGCTGTCTCTCTTCTCCACCTCCTTCTCCAGCAGCTGCATCTCCTGGTGGACTTTCCCCTGCTGCTGCGCCACCTCCATCAGCTCCTGGAACTCCTTGTCCCTCTGCACAAGCAGCTCTAAGATCTGGGGACAGAGCGTACCCTCTTTAAATACGACCTATGCCATAAACTCAGAAACAATGAGTCAATAACTGGAAAAAAAAAATCATAGTTGATAAAAAGACACCTGGGTAACCAGATACTTAATTTAGTGTGTTGTGTAAACAGTGAATGGAAGGGGCTGGAAGCCTCACTTCTCTGCACATATTTACTCTTTTATTTACTTTATTCCTTCATTACTGTAAGATAATTTGGCTGCACTGCATTAATGTAGCTGTTGAAATATAAGAACTCTGAGACACATTCTTTGCTATTCACACATTTTCGATTAGTCAGCAAAAGCGTCACCCTAAAAAAATAGAACAGAAATAGTTATTTTCTATCAACAGCCAACGCTAAGACATCAAATTTGTATCACTCTTGAACTGGGGACATAATTTTGGTTTAAAATGTCCCACTAGCATCCTTTTATATTGCAGAGATGTATAAAACTCTGACTGCTCTCTCTCAGTCCAAAGTGAGACACATCCTCTCGTGTGACGTGGTCAACAGTTTTTCTCCGTTACCTGCGTGTCTTCTCCTGGCTGTGGGAGTTTCTGACTTCTGGACAGAGCCAGCATCTCTATCAGCTCCCTGAAATAAAAGCAGTCGAAGATAAGCTACCAAGAGTACGCAGACTCCAGCAAACACCCGCTGCAGTTTATTCATCACGTTTACGAAACCATGGACAGATTATTATACAACAGGGTTAAGTGTTTAAGTGTCCAGAAGTCGCTAAATTGTGACTTTTAATCACTTCTGCAATAGAAAGCCCGGTAAAGACGGTCTGACCCACCGAGCGATTAGCCCTTAGTGGTTTCTTCCAATTTGAAGGGAATGAAAAATAAAAACAACATGGAACTAAACAAATTAACAAACTTAAAAAGTTCAAATTTACCGGGATAAAACCTCTAAGTCATCTAGAACAGAAAGAAGACGCTCCTTCGTTGATTTCTCTGCTAGCGCCGCCATGTTTGCAAGCCTCTCGTCGACGACAGGATGTGACGTAGATAAATTAATTCTCTTCACTCAAATGAGTGCCCTCTATAGGTAATAAGAGGGTATTACAGAAAGCTGCTCCTCGCTCTTGTTATTACAGTGAACACCCCCTTCTGGCGACGACGGTGAATTTCATTTTCATTATTAAGAATGTTATTTTGGCGACGAAGAGTGATGTTACTGGCGTCTCACAGTAGGTTAAAGTGGTGCCTCTATAAAATGTTACCAGATATCCAAAAAAAATCTTCGTGGATATTAGTCACATGACACAGATTGCCGTCAGTAAAAGCAATAACCTCCTGAGCCAATTAGAGGCAAGTGACCGTATATTCTCCATTTCATGCAGGCCTTTAAATGAAGACATGGACTGAAAATTCTCTTTTCATCCTGCATTGTGATGCTCGTCCATTTAAGAAAGGATAACCCATCTGTAATGGATTTTTTTTTTTTTTTTTTTACCTGCAAGACAGAAAATGATTAGTGATCAAATGATCGCAGAAGGCCTACATTCAAGGACTCTGTTCAGGCGGTCATTGACGTCAATCTGTGACGTGGGATTCGGGGTTTGAGTTTGCCATCCGAGGATCACGTCACCAACGACCAGCTGAGCATATCTGGTCCAGGTGACTCACAGATCTTATTTCCTACAGTATTTGAATGTATTTTTTAATTTTTTAGTCTTAAAGTTTAATTATTTTCAAAGCGAAGCATCTAAATTAAAATAAGTCATTAACAGCTTATACATTATAAAAATATAAGGTTATACATTTTATAAGCTAGAAGAATATTATGGTTTTTGTTTTTACAAATATTGACAAGGAAACGAAAAGACAAAGTGACTAAGTTATCACAGATGACCTGCATTCAAAGACCGTATATAAATACTGTGAAGATTTAAATATCTATTTCTACATATTTTCATTACATCTATATCACATGTCGCATGACAAGGAAAGGTCTAGTCACATGACACAGATTGCCATGAGTAAAAACAGTGACCAGCTGAGCCAGAGTCCACACATCCTCCTTTTCATACAGGCCTTTAAATAAAGACCCGGACTAAAAATTCTCTTTTCATCCCACACTGTGATGCTCGTAAATTAAGGAAGGATAACCTATATTTAATGGCTTTTTTTTTCTTTTACAAGTATTTACCTGCAAGACAAAAAATGATTAGTGACCAAATGGCCACAGAAGGCCTACATTCAAGAACTCTGTTCAGGCGGTCATTGCCTTGTTGTTTCTCCCCAGGTAAAATAAATAAAAACGATGAACTGATTTGTTTTCTATCACTAGAGTCAAGGGTTCCTTTTCAGGATTTTGAATTAGTCCATATTGGATGTAAAAATGAATTAATTAACAACTAAATCTGATCAGAGTTCAAAACCTGGAATTTGGATCAAATTGATGAATGAAAGATGAAACCAAATCTGCCCTGGTTGTGAATGGATGAAAGGTTTTCTCTTGTTTAAAACCAGGATCCTGGTTCCAATGTAGGTTGGAACCAAAACAAATGTGGACCTAAAATGTTCTTTTCTCTCCCATCATCCACCAAAGACCAAGTTCTGATCCAGAA